GTCCAAGCAAAGGGCAGAAGGGGGACCCAAATAAGTTGTCCCCTATAAAATTCTTTCGAAAAATTTAAAGAAAAAAGAACAGTTGATGTAAAAGCATGACTTTTGTGGCTGCTGCCATCAGTATGGCCGTGGTTAACTCTAAGCAGCTTGAAAACCCATCTCTCACCAGCCTTGTCTCGGCGTGGTCAACTTTCTGTTGTGAAAATTCAATTTCATGACCAAAGGAGAGTTTAAAAAATAACCCTCACACTCCAGAGGAATAGTTCCCAAATGAATTACTTCCACAAGTGTTTTAGGCACCAGCTGTTTCTTTGGAACAAGGGCATGGCTCCTAAGTCAGTGTTTCTTCCAGTAGAGTTCCATGCTGTGGTGCTATAATTTAAAAAGAACCCAGTTACTAAGAGCCGGCCAGCTAGCTCAGTGGATTAAACCACCCGTTTAGGCAGACACAGGGACCGGGGATTGATCCCAGGTGTGCTGTGCTGGCCCCACCCCCGGGGCGCACTGAGATGGCAACTGAGACTGGGTGTGGTGGCATGAGCCTGGAATCCTAGCACTTGGGAGGCTGAAAACAGGTGGATCACTACAAGTCCGATCTGTGTAGTGACACCCTATAGATCCTGTACTAAATGCAAACAAAATAAAACAAAACAAAAGACAGTTACTGTCCTTAGGTGTAGTGGTTTTCCAACCGGATGGCAATAGGAATCACCTGCAGAGATTTATGAACTCCTGCACACAGGCCTTACCCCAAGAGAGTCTAATTTAGCTCATGCATAGGACACAAGTAAGACATGGAAGGTTTTAAAATCTCCCCACATGATTCTAATGTTCCATCATGATAGCTTAGATATGCTATAGTTCAGAGTCACTCGCTTTGTGTACCTGTGAGTAGTCTACAACCTGCCCTTTCTTGCCTCTTAGCATACTCTGCTTGCTCTTCATAGCTCTAAGGATAATGCTTGGTAGGTGGCAGATACTTAATTGTTTGTTCCATAAATGAATGATGATAACAGGCAATGCCTGAGGGGGAGGGAGAGAGGGGTGTGGGGACAGAATGGGTACCAAGTCACAGCCAGAGATGGGCAATCTGATTTTAAATTACACTGAAGGTTGATCAAAGTTAACAATACAGTGCACAACCTAATTTAAAGCAG